AGACATTTGCCAGTTCATTGTAAACTTCATACATACTGACTTTGAACTTTTCTTTAAGGATGTTTTGTTTGTAATTTTCACTTTTGAGAAGCAATATGGAAATGTTTACTTTCTCTGCAACTTACTTATTTTACTTGCAAAATATTTTATCCACAAATGCAAGGTTATGAAAGTTACCTCCCACTTCTCTTACTTTCAAGAAGATATTAAAATTTATATTAAATCTTTATCTACCTCCTGTAACAAAAAGGCAACTAAAACTTTGAATGTATGCTCACTTTTTGGTGTTTTTGTATAATTTTTATCTGATAATTATTTTGTGTTTTGAGGGAAGAGTATGTTTTTTTGTTGTGTGATCTGTTTATTTTATTTATCTTATTTTTTTCTCATGTACTTTTTAATTTATTTTTCTTCTCTTTCTCTTTTGATTTGTAATTGCTGTATATTATTTGGTCATGCTTGAACCCCTGGCTCTTTTCCTTGGCATATGTTCTGTCACACCTGTATTTCTGAATAAATGTTTAATAAAAAAAATTAATAAAAAAAAGTTGTATTGTCAGTGTCGGTCACAGCGCCTTTAAACTGCTGATTTGGATCCGGCAATGTTTCATTTACAAATTAAGCACTGATTATAAATATATAATTTATATTAAATGGAACTTAGCTTGTGAAGACATTCGAGAGAGTGAAACATAGCAGCTGTGAAGTGGATGCTTGATCTCTTGATATCCTTCTTGGGGATGAAGTTCCCATCTGAACTTGTTCTTGAGTCGGTCACATAACTCGTGGAGTCCATGGCGATGCGTGAAGTAATGCTGACTCAGTCACTTCCGAATCAGGCCGCTTATGATCAATGCGGTGAATTCAGGTGTTGAAGTTAACGAACTTTAAGGAACACTCCACTATTTTTGAAAATAGGCTAATTTTCTAACTCCCCTAGAGTTGAAGTTTTTACCGTTCTAGCGGTAGCACTTTTAGCTGTAGCTTAGCGTAGATCATTGAATCTGATTAGACCGTTAGCATCTCGCTCAAAAATGACCAAAGAGGTTTTATATTTTTCCCATTTAAAACTCTTCTGTAGTTACATCGTGTACTAAGACCAACGGAAAATGAAAAGTTGCGATTTTCTAGGCCGATATGGCTAGAAACTATACTCTCATTCCGGCGTAATAATCAAGGAACTTTGCTGCCGTACAATGGGTGCAGCAGGCGCAATAATATTAGTCCCCTGAAAATAGTCCCCAGCACACTCCCTGTGCAAGCAGGTGGTCACGTTGGTTATGTTGATGGAAGTTTGCCTATTTTCAGGCGCTGTGTAATAACATTGTGCCTGCTGCACCCATGGTACAGCAGCAAAGTTACACATCACTTCTCATTTTACATATCACATAACATCACATGGGTCATTCTTTTGAAATGTCAATTTTTCTGTCCCTAACCTTTACAGAAATTTTACACTTGAAAAACACTTTAGTGTTTAAATTTCTTTTTACTTTAAAATGAAACAATATGCTATTTGAACAATTACACCACCAGCCATGTACAGAGGGAAAGTAATTTATTTTGAGGTCAAAAACAGGGTTTTCTACCATTTACAATACAATAATGCATTCATAATTTCAGTTATCAGAACTTTTCTCATTTATCTCATGATTTCATATGAAGCTTTTATTTTAACTCACTGGTGTGACCTGCTTTATTGTTATGGAATTGTGAAAAACTAGAATACAAATGGATTAAACTACTTAATTTAGTGAGTATACCATGACTGACAACCTGTTGTTTTGATACATTGAAATTATGAATTTTGTAAAATGCATTTTTCATGACAATTGTCACTGGTGTTACTGCCACTGGTGTCACCTTCCTTATGGGTAAATAAATGTACCAAAAAAATAACAATAATAATTTAGCTGACATTTATGTGCATTCATTAAGGCAAAAGGTAATGTAATAATGTGGTCTAAGTTCAAATGTTAGAAAAATAAATA